ATATGTTAAGAAAAATTTCGGGATAAAAAAACGTAAAGTTAAAAAAGTTGGTATTTAAATCGCTTGGTTGCTCGACTCACGTTTCAGGCTTATGTTTTATTCGCTGTCCTTGTCTACGTTCGGCAAACTACAAAGGCGGGCGCGAGGCTCGAAAACGTAGTCCCTGACTCTACGAGTGTCAGGTTTAGCTTCCTTGCGGTCTGACACTTGTGGAGAATATACTACATTGCTAGTTAACTTTCGGTTAATTTCTAATATTTAATATTTCATTGATAGTTTTGGATTTCCGCTAATATTCGCATGCAACGTTTACTTTTACTTGCTTAAATTGTACAATAATATTATCGATAACAAAAGGATAAATAAAAATATTAAATCTTTGCATGACGTATTCTTTTTTTCAGTATTTTCGACATGATTCGAAATATTGTTTTTAACGTTTAAGTGCATTCGTTTAAAGTTTGCGCCCCACACTTTATAGTAGGAGCAACTACACAGTAACTAAAACGAGGTCAATTTTATAAGAAGAGCATAATTGTATGCCAATCGCGAAGAAACATGGATCAATTACACCAGCCAGTTTCTTAGCTTTCAGGTCATATTTGGATATAGACCGCAAATGAACTATTCCATTCTTCTTATTCGCTTTTAATTAACCACGTGATGGAATCTTCATCACAATACCTAAGAACTACAATTATCGAATGATTTTATCCAGAATTCGTTTCACGAGTGTAACAGTCTAGAGGTGAAATTCTGAAAGCTTCAGTGTCCGGACATAAAGTATCTTTCGTATCCCAAATTTTTGCAAATGAACATCATACGTGCCAATTACCTTTTAGGTTCATCATTGATATGCCAAAAGATACGTTTCATGACACGTTGTATTTAAAGATTTCAAATCGTACTGAGAAACTGTTACAGAGAAAATCTCTAGAATATATTCTATGTACATTCTAAATGCTTTGTGCAAATTCTACATCATTCGTACCGCTGGAACACCATTAACCACTAATTTATATCCCATGAATTCTGTGAGATAAGTTAATGAAATAATTGGATTAAGTCTTTAAGAAATTATTCATTCAACTAATCGCTTACAATTTCCCCTGCAAAATAACTTCCATTTGATGCCAATATGTTTTTCATGTCTCGTAACAAGATTCGAAGTCAACCTCTGTTAGATTTCTAGTGATCACGGTTATAACTTCCTGAATATTCTCAATTCTATGAAAGTAAATAACGCTTGACTTTTGATTTTGCTGTCAGGAACAAAAGAAAGTCAGAAGATGTAACATATCTAGTACATAAGAAATGCTATTTTTCTCCAGATTTTTACAAACAAAGAAAACTGTGTAGAAGAGCGCATTTTTATAGTGAGCAAACCCAAATATCTGCAATTTCGGGTCTCTGACTTATTGCACCCGTTTTTCAAATCATTTCAGGATATTCCTTGACATTCTAATTGTTGATCGTCAACCTTTACAAATAGCGCCTCTTACACGGTCGATGATTTTGTTCGTTTCGAGTGCTGTTCATCTTTCCTAATTGCATTTAGGAAACAGAATTTAATCAATTCTTAAGAGAAAATATTTACGGCAGATTTGGATAAGACAACAGGTCAACGATGCAGTTGATACAATAGTATAATAGCTGAACATTTCCGTGCATGTGAGCCATTAGACTGTAATAAAGTTTCTTTTCTAGACTCCTCTCCCTAGATCGATGAGTCGCGTCTAGAAAGCTCAGTCTACAAAGGCATGTGGCTTCGTACCACCCTCTTCCTGTTCCTCCTTCCACCCCATTTGCGCCTCACCACCTCCTATTCCACCTTCATCCTCCCACAGCCTCACTCTCTGAAGCTGAAACATTTTAGTCGATTCCGGGCATCCACTCGCCTTGGTGTACTGTTGGTCTTTCGCTAGAATCACGTGTGATACTCGAATTTTTCAGTTCCACTTTCATACCACTATACTAATTCTTCGTTCACGTTAAATAAATTTCTAATCAACTAAATATGGTTACTAACGATGGAATGCACATTATTGCTAGAGTAATTGTTTGAAATACGAATATTCGTTGTACATGGACATTACAGTTAGGTCCCTGGAAAATTATCTTCAAAGCCGTTCCCATATATTCACTATAATATTTCTATCGGGAGATCATGCTAACCATGTAAGAAACTCAACATTTTTATCACGACACCGCTCTTTCATTAAATGTACCGAGTGTATCGAAGTACTATCACGCTGAAAACTCCAGGTTTGTTGTTCCATAGCATATTCAGTAATTTTCCAACACATTCTCCAGAATATTTAAGTATCTTCCTGAATCTAGTTTTCTTTTAACCCCTTAACCTATGATTTCTTTTCTGACTAAGCACCTAAGCGTCAGCCATTTACTGTTTTAGTACTGTGTCAGGTAACAAAAGCTAATCCGTCACATTTACTACATTTAGCAATCCTCGGTCGTACAAATTAAAACGAAAGTTTCGCTTACAATTAATTTTTCTCATTAATATAACTATTTTTATCACATCTTGATCAGAATCTCTACCACATTGTTAAAGGTTAAGGGGTTAATGAGTATCGTAACGAAGAAATCGGTAGATACGAGTGGCGTAAAACAAAAAGATTCGTTCTTCTTTCTCACATCGTGATAACAATACTATGCGTCTAAAGTTTCAATTGAACAATTTTTTTATCCGAAAGATATATACAAAATAGAGATTTTTTCGACGTTTTAGATACGATACACAGTTTGTATATATTATACGCTTTATGGTTGCGATCGATGTAGTTCCAATTCTTTTCGTTATTTTTCTCCGTAGAAAATACCGAATTAGATACGTTACGTAAAGTCTCTGTTTTTCTGTTCTACTTCTTTTCCTTCTTCCTTTCTATCTTTTACTGCGATTTTCCAACTCTTTCAAGAAGTTATTAACAACCTTCCCACTTCCACGCACTCTTTTTTTTAAATACTGTAAAGCTTTCAGAGTATAACAATAACGATAATATAAAAAATAGTGCTTAGAGAACTTTTAATCAAATTGTAAAACTGCTGCTAAACGATGTTTCTTCACCTGTTTACAATTAATCGTCGTGGAAAGAGATGTTCCCAAGTATATCCCGCTCGTTTATTGTTAACGGGACTTAACCAGCTTGTAGAGTTCGTCAAGCTGAATATATTTGCACACTTTTTGAGAGCAAATGATCTATTATTAACGAGACATTAACGATTAAAGCTTTAAATTATACCTTAACCCCTTAACGCTCATGCCCGTGTCTTACACGTGCACAATTGATTCTCTAAAAAGTCCAATTTTAGTTAATTATTTTCTTCCACTTCTCATATTGCGCTATCCTTTCTATTCTATTGCAAAAATGTAAGTCGCAGCATTATAAATAAATAGGAAACTTATTTCTATACGCCTAGGAAATAATTGGAGAAAAATGAAATTGATCACTTTTGGCATATCAAGCTGAGAAAAATGTGAGCTTTAAGGGGTTAAATCGAGAAGTAAAAAAGCGCACTCGTATATTAGTTTACGTAAATACAATAGTCACGAATTCTTCGCGTCTTAACGCTCTCTTTTTTTTTTTGTATTATTTATACTAATAAACTTGATTAATCGTGCTACCTTTTTAATATAATCCGTGTAATTATCTTTTTATTTGAATCATAACAATTTTTCTACGTTATGTTTTATATACAATGGAAAGTTGCAAGATTGTCTGAAGAATGAAAAATATTCTAATAACATACAAAAAAAACTGACGAACTCTGCAAGCTAGCAAAGTTTCGTTAATAAGTGAGCTGTGCACTTTGGAAGGTCTTATAAGGTACAAGAATGTACAATTTTACCAACATTGGTATAATAAAAATTTGATTTCCTTGAGAGTGATAATATCTGAATAAAATCAAGCCTTATACAGATAAAAGGACGTACAAATAACGGAAATTAATGCAAAACAATAAGCAACATTTCAAAAATTCCCTTTCCTCGCAACAAAATCAAAGTAACATTGAACTTTTCAAATGGGACTACATAATTTTGTTTTCGTAATATTTCAAGGAGCGATTGTTTAATTTACTTTAAAATCTTTTAATTAATTTCTCACATAGCCTTTGGATATATACGAGCAGTGAGATTTTTCTTAAGGAAACCTTTGTTTTATATTTGTAACCTATTAGATAGTTTCTCCGATTTTATTTTCTGCTGATAAAGTGGATAATCCTGTTTTACGAATGAAACCTGCAAATAAAAATGCACGACTTCTTCGAAGCAGGCGGAAAGCGTACGATTAATCGTTGAAAGGGGATAAGATCCACGAAATTACGGGCAAATACTCTTTGCAATGTAACTTAACCGTGCAGTTATACTTTGGGTTTAGTCCAATGAAACATAACAGACGAACGCAGCTCGATGTTTCTTGACATTTTGACTGGCAGACTAATTTTAAGCATGTAAAAAAGCTCGGTTAAGAAATAATGAAAATCACGATAGTGAAAAAATAATTATGTCTAGTGTTACTTTACTACATTTATTCCTGAAAAATAAAACGTCGCAGTAAAAGTGTTAAATATACGAACTCCAGCAAAAATCCCATTTCTCAGATAATATAGGATTAGAAATTTCCACGGTATTTTTAACGATTTTCACTACAATTAGAATAGAAGATGAAAATACCGGTAAATATTGTTATGTAAAGAATGAAAAGAATTTCACGCAGGCAAGGGTCCTCCCGCTGGGTTAACAAATCGTGTTCGGACACTGAGCTAGCGCAGGGCAAAGGTAAAGAGCGGAAAAGCAAATCGAAGGAAAAATGGCCTCTGCTGGAAGGGCTGACGGTCGACGAACTGGCTCGATACCGAAGAAAACGTGTGCAAGGACAACCGAAAAACAATCTCGGTGTTGATCTTGAGGCTGAAAGCGAAACCCTCGTTTCTGAATATCGCGAAGCTTTCCGTGCGAGAAACGAGGAATTCTTGAAGGTGGGTATTCTCGACAAATAATTTTAAAACGTTTGTGAAACATTTCAAGAATTAAGAAAAAAAAAAAAAAAGAAAAGAAAGATCTGACTAACAATGTTTCGACAATTCATTAAGCAATAATTTTCGGATTCATAGATGTACACCTTACCGTAGGAAAATACATGGTTGGAAAAGAACAGGCAGTCCGAACAACTTCAGTGGAAAGAATCGAATCGAGAAAATCTTGACGAACAGGAGAAGAAGGATATGGAGCTTCCAACTACAAACAAAGATACCACCGAGACTTTTCTAACAGAAATTGATAACGATAAAATGATTACGTCTGAAACTGCCAACCCTAAACACGTAACTGACGCCAATTCTTTTAAACGATCTCCTCCGATTAAAAGGTGAAATAAAATTTCATAATATCAGCAACTGTTTACCTCTTTATAATTCATTTACGTGAACTTTAACGGACAAATTGTTATTTTATAATCATTGTCATTATCGTTTTTCACAAAGTTTTTTTTTTCGGCTGTGGACTACTTTAACGTGATGAGCTGTTACATTCAACGTTTATATCCATTATTCTATCGTATTAAAGAAATTTCGATAAATTTCAGATTTCGCTAATTCGTATAATTAATATGAATATATGATGAATTATTTTCGTTATTGCGTTATGTCTGTTCTCTTCTCGAGAAATTATTGTACTAACCCTATTAGTAACGGCATAAGTGAAAATAAAATTAAATAGCGTGTCATATGAGACGTACAATTAGGAAAAATTTCTCCTAATTACTATTATTCTTTCACAATATCGTAACAGAGATACCAGTTTAGAGTGTGACAAAGAATTCTATGCGGACACCGAGACCTATTCGTCGTACGTGGCCTACGAGGGTCAGCACAGACCGAAGCTAACTCGTAGACCCACGTCTTTAAAAATGGAGGGCGATTTAAATACGACCACTGAGAAATGTGAGAGATACATCCAATGGCTGAACGTTAGCCGGCCGGAACTGATGCGTGTGCCCACACATTTGAAGCTCGAAGGTGAATTCAAAACTACCACGGAGAATCATGATAAATACGTACCGTTTGTAGGTGTACGAAGACCGATATTATTAAGGCAGAATACTAACTTAAAATTAGAAGGGGAGTCGAATTTTACACCGGAGTATGCCGACGTGTTTAAAAGACATGAGAGTACTAGAGGTAGTTGTAGATATTAATTTGATTATGTTACATATAGTCAGTCCATCAATACGCGCAATGTTATTATATTGTATTGCAGAATGTTCGCAACCAGTGAAGCCTGATACTTATCTGAAAACAAGAGGATCCCTTTTTCAAAGTAACGAAAACACAGATAACTTGTCCAATACCTCTCGTGGCAGAGAGGCGCAATTGATGAACGAGTTGAATAAAGACGTTGAAAAGGAAGAGAAAAAACAGAAAGAGCTAAAAGAGAAACAAAAGAAAGACGAGGAGATGAAGATATTAGTCGGGAAGTTGGAAGATTTGAAAGGATCACCGCTTGGAATTCCAGAATACAAAGACGCATATAAGGCAAATTTAAATTTTTTCATATTCTATTGTTTTGGTAATTATTAAGATGAAGCATAATGAAGTTTAAACAGAGACTTTTTACTCGTAGGATTTCCCACGAGAGAGGCCAAAAATCGTAAAACCAGAAGGCAAGATTGGAAGAGCAGATGGTTCGAAAATATCTTCGTCATCTACGCCCAAATTTTCAACTAAAATTGATCAAGATCCGGAATATAAGTCAAAATATTTGGACTATCAAAGAAATTATACCGTACATCGAAAATCACCGGAACATGGCATATGTTTTACTAGACAAGATGACAAACGACAAGGCCGTCAATTTATTAGTGAAGTGCGAGCACAATATGTTCCGTATGGAAACATTCCAAAGGTTAAAACCTTCAAAATGCCGGCCAACTTACGTCTGGAAGGAAATCTTGATCTCGAACCAGAATACAGAACAGCTTATTGCGCAAAGCGTGAAAATCAGTTGTACACAGAGCCGAAAATACATCATAGGCGAGATCATTGTTCAAGTGTTTCCAGACGAAAAGAAAATTATTGGATAAACAATAATAATGCAGAGCAATTTTATTTCACCAATGCTGCCAAAGATCAAGATGCATTTCAAGTGTTGAACACTCAGGTTCATGAAGATAGTATACATGGAAAACCACCAACAAGTAGTCGAAGGTTTGTATTTGAAAATTAAATTGATTTTATATCATTTACATGTACACCCTTTTACTCCTTGTTTATGATAAATTAATTGTTAGGGGCTCAAAATCTTCCCAAACACAAGTCCAGAGACAAAAGCAATCAGTGATGGCAGAATGTGATACATTGAAAGATAAATCAACTAGTCCAACTTACCGACTTCATGTTTGTAACGTTGATGATGATTCTGGAGGTTTTCGACAGAAACAGTCACCATCACTTCAGTCTTCCAGAAGGATACACCTTTCACCAGATCGTGTAGTTCATAGTGACACTATCAGACCATATTCTCCCAGTTTTGGTAAAAACACAAAACAACACACCAATGGTCAATCATTTGTTGTTTTAAACAATGAAATTTTTGACACAAGTAAAAATGAAACGCACAGGGTACGAGTAGATAGAAATTATAACATTGATGGTACACTTCCTACTTCTAAGGGAAAAACTAGAATTCCAACAAACTGGATGCCACCATGGTATGATAGCACAAATACCATCTAAAGTAATAAATGTATTTCAGACACTTTAAGTTTGTATTCTATAGAAAAAGCTTCAAATTTTATAATATTGACTCAGAACAATAAAGTTTCTGTATAAATATAAGTTGTGTATAATACATTTATTAATAATTATTTCTTCAAAATTAACATATATGTAGAATGGAAAACATAACTTGATCACTTATTATTCTGAGTGCTGTTGGACCCATTCAAATTTCTTTTGCAATGTTTTGATTAGAATAGGCTAGGTGATTACAAGTGAATTCAAATATATTTTCTGTAAATTTCTGTTTTTATTAATAACATAAGATATAATAAAGCTGCAATGATTAATGATCCACAAGTTAATACTTGGAAAATTGAAAAGAATGTGAAGTATATAGAACTAAAAGCATATAGAATTAATATATACACTTAAAACAATTAAGAATTTATTTACTTTATGCATACAAAAATGCATTGAAACTGAGGAACAGCATTCAGAATACTTAATTCCAATTAATTCCTTTGTCTTTAAAATTAAAAAGAATTAATTTTCTATAATTACGAATTTTGAAATTCATTGCATCCAAAATGTTAAAACTATCAACAGTTGTGAAAATACTAAGTGTTACTATCATCTTTAATACTTCAAAAAAAATATATTTCCCTCCAATTTCTAATACACACTAGTGATGCTTTTGTTACTTTTTTTCCGATTTAAATATTACTAGTTTTCTTTTATATATGCATTATATATTAACTTATCATATATACAATAAAGTTAACCATAACCATCATGCAATTTTAAAATAACCATTTTACCTTTAATTGTTATTATAATGTTTGTTTTAAACAT